CTGCTGAACAGAAGCTTGCCTCTGAAACAGTCCCATTAGTTTCACTGGAACTGTGTGTAGTGTAAGGGATTATTCACTGTGTGTAAGCATAGCCATATATAAAGCCTGAGTAAATTGCTATTGCAGTATTGCCAGCCCAAGCATTCAAAACCCAAGTCAGGCCTTTAAAAAAAATCATGAGATTAGCTAAAAATCATGCAATTTGAGATTTTTTTTAAGGTCTTTTTCTTTAACCTTCTGGTTTCCTGGGCTGTTAAGGTCACATTTGCCATCTAACCTCCACAACCATGATGGACAACCCCCTTTTTTTCAACGATGAAAGTAGCTGGCACTATCAGAAAACACCAACTATCTTAGGATTTACAACATAATCAGAGGAGTTGGCAACATGATTATGCTTCCTCCTGCAGATAACCTATCTACTAGCCTGGTGCATGTATTGCTCTGCTCTGTCCACACCAGCATTGAAAAAGAACATCAATTTGAAAAAGCCACAATTCCATCTGAAATTTCAGGGTCTACAGGGACAAGAACAGAGGTGAAAGTAACATTTTCCTGGTTGTTTTCTTTGAATATGATAACACACAACATGCTATGGAAATTTCAGTGGTGTTGACGGTTCAGCCTTTTCCCAATGTTCTGCAAGCAGGTTTTTATCACTAACAGCAAAACCAAAATTGAGCAGGGAACAGAGAAGGATGAAAAAGGAAACTCAAGGATGCTTGGCAGTGCTCTTGGACCTGCTCCAAAGTCTCCTCTAAACATTAGCAGCAGATCGGGGAGAAGCAAAAAAAACCCCTCAATATGATTATTAAGTTGTTGTTTTCCTCATGTCATTTAAAAGCAACTTGCAGAAAGTGTGAGGTTTTTAGAAAGAACCAGTTTCAGGAAATTCACACCACCCCAGCTCAGCAGGCTGGGGGATATAAAACCAGTCTGCTTCTGCAGACCACCACAACCAACTTCACACCCTCATGCTCCAAACCAGCAGTATCCAATGTGGTGGCCACGGGCACCACGGATAATACTTCCAAAAACAAAAAAACAAAAAACAAAAACTAAGTAAAGGGAAGTTGCATTTTGAAGTTCCGGATCTAATGCAATTTTAAGTAATGGATGAGATGATTGGATTGATCTAAATTTTAAACTTTAATATTCATATTGGCGCGCACTGCTTTTTCTTTTAAATTTGAATGTGTCCTCGGGCACAAATGTCGGGAACCCCTGCTCCAAACCATCCACCATCTCACCCTCACATCCCCACCAAGTGGCGGGACACCTTTGGCAAGGGCAAGGGCGAGGGCAAGGGCTCCCCGTAGACCAGCCTACATTCCACCCTAATCCCACAAACCACTGCGGATCTGCACGAGCATGTATCTAGCAGGCTTTCCTGACTTCAACACCTGCCTCTTCTGTGCATAAAGTGAGACGGGCAAAGGCCTACTTCAAATACTGCAGGCTGAAGCCCTTCCACCGCTCCCCAGGAACCTCTCTGCTGCTCAGCTTCCTGCTCCCTGCCCTGTGCTTCCTTCCTAATTTCTTGCTCTGCTTTTTTCTTCTTTCCTGTGCTCCCTGCCCAATTTTGCTGCTTTCTGCTTCTTGCTCCTGCCCTTCCTGTCTGACCTGCTGCTCTGCTTTCTGTCCTATCTGCTGCTGTCTTCTCCCCACCCCATCCTCCCTGCCTAACTGGTTGCTCTGCTTTCTGCTTCTTTCCCCACCCGCCCTTCCCTGAATCTGTTGCTCTGCTTTCTGCTCCCCACCCAACCTCTTGCTCTGTTTGTTGCATCTTTCCCTGCACTCCCTACTTGATCTGCTGCTCTGCTTCCTGCTGCTTGCCCTGTGTTCCCGGCCTGATCTGTTGCTCTGCTTTCTGCTCCTTTTGATTTCTTGCTCTGCTTTCTGCTTCTTGCCCCCGCACCTCCTGCCTAGGGTGGCCGTCACAGAGGACATTCCTGTTTTCTGTACTCTGTCTTGTATTGTTATGAAACCAGATGGCTTTATGTCCTCTATTTTTCTCTTCAAGAGAAAAATTCCTGCGCTGCTGCTGGCCAATCCCACTACCCATCAGACCGAGGAGCTACCCGTCAAGAGGAGCTCTCTCTCTTCAAGAGAAAAAGAGAGGACATGAAGACATCCGGCTTCGTACCAACAGAGGACAACTGGACTGTCCTCTACGATGGCCACCCTGTTCGTGCCTGCTCTGCTCCTTGCCCTGTGCTCAGCCTGTCCCCTCTGCTTCCTGCCTGAATGGTTGCTCCGCTTTCTGCTTCTTCCCCCTCCCCTCTCCTCTCCTCCCCTCCCCTTCCCTCCAGACCTGCTGCTCTGCTTTCTGCTCCCTGCCTGGTCTCTCGCTAGCTAAGCCGTGGCGGTGCTGGTGCTGATGCAAGGTCCAGGCCCTCCAGGGCTGCCCCGCGGGAAGGGGCGGGGCCGCCCCGCCCCGCCCCAGCAACCCGCTGTTGCCTGGCAACCACGGCCGGGCCGGGCACGCGGCGCGGGGTGAGCGGGGCGGCTCCGGAATGGTGGGGTAGCGGGGCTTCCCCGTGCTTTTCTGGCTGTGATCTCCACGTCCCTAAGCACCCGGCCGGCTCTGGTCCTAGCCCTGACGCGCTTCCCACGGCCCGAAGTGCCTGGCGGGAGAGGCGCAGGGTGCGGCGGAGGGGTGCTTCCGTCTGTGCCCCCCCCTCACAGACACCTGTCTGAAGCGGGCTCTGGAGCCAGCCTCCCCCCTGCGGACAGAAGGGGTGAGCCGGCAGCACCCACAGCCATCAGCTCTGGGCTGTGGAGCGGCCCCAGGGCTTTCTAGGGCAGGGATTTGCAGCTCTGATTTGCTGCCTGGGACCTAGAGCCAGGGACGCAGCAGGCCCTAGAGGTCCAGGCAGCCAGTCTGGGTGGATCCGGGGAGCTCGGGGCTCAAAGCCCTCCTGCTCCCCCACTTCCCCTCACCTGCTTTACAGAAATGTCTTCCCTTCTCTCCTCCAGAGGCCCCTCTGCTCTCCACTGGTTATTTTCTCATCGGGAAACATGGGGGTTTGGGCTAGTAAAAGCCTCTGGATGAGGACTCTTGTTGTGCGCCTTGTCAACTGGTTGGCAAATAACTTCACCTGATTCGCCTGGTTAAGCAAGGAAGATCTGGTGCTCTCCTCCCAGCTTCCAGCAAGCATTTAACTAGCAGAGGCTGTGCTGTCGTGAGGTCTCTATTACCATGATGTCATTGCTTTTTCAGATGATGCTATGGTCAATATACTAACATGCTGCATCACGTTACCTCAGATTCATTACTCTTAAACAGTGGTCCTCAGAACTTGTGACAGAAGCTCATTCTATGATACTTTAGGCTCGATTTTGTCAAGTTATGTTTGCTTGCTTTTTCGTTTGCTTTGTGTAGTAAGGCATTGGCCTCCTGTGATGACCAGCGGGTAGCAGGGTAGAGTTTCACCTTAGAGACTAACTAAAGTAGTGATATATAGAGATCACAAGTCTATCTAGATAGATCTATCCATCTATCTACTTTGGTTAGTCTATAAGGTGAAAATCTACCTGGCCTTTTACCTGACTTCAGGCTATTAACACAGATAATGACATCCGTGCTACTGACCAGCACCACTTGGTGAGTTCCTGTTGTATCCAAGTAGACAGAATGCTTTTAGATTGGAAGATCAGTTCTGCCTTGTTTACTTGTCAAAATTTAAGTCCAGGGCCTTACTTTGTTTTGTTTTGGGGTTGTTTTTTATTTTTTTATTTTATTAGGTTGAGTACACTGCTAACTTCCAAAACCAGTATTTGTGTCTGCTTGAGGTGCTGGTAGTGTTAATGGGGCTTTTGCATGAGAAACACAAAGTATGTGGGTTTGAGATTAAATCAAGAGCCTTTCGCCTTTAAGTATCCTGACACTCTCAGTCTCGAAAGGAACACCAGAAAGCAATTAGTGAGGAGATGAAGGAAGCATGTTCTGGCTGTTCAAGCACAGCCTTGGGATTTAGATCTATGGTCTGTTCACAGCATCATGATAGATTTCCTGTGTGTCCCTTCCCTCTCTGGACCTCACTTTTCCTGACTGGAAGACAAAGATATTTTGCTTACCTTACAATGAGTTATTTCTTGGCAAGTGCATTGAGATCTTTAGATGGAAGAAGCTAGAGAAGGATGAAATATTGTTTAATTTAGTGATTACTGAACAGTGACCTAACTCCATCTCCCCTCCCCATGCTTCTAGATATCAGAGAGGAGAAAGCCACTCCTCATTCAGGACTTTGGTGAGGCTTGGAAGTAGCTTTTTCCTTATTTCTCTCTATGTTGCTGTATAGGCCTATGTTGAATGTCTCTTACCCACAGTTGCTGGCCCATTAGGTGGCCTTAGCCCAGATACGGATGCAGAATCTATTGAACTGTAACCATGCAGTGCTGATTGGCAAGTGTTGGTTGGTGGTCATTCCTTAGCTACTTTTGTGTTTATGAAATAATATTACAGCAGTGACCCCTACTAGCAGTGTCCAATATGCTGACAGTGAATCACAGCACCTTAAGTGAAAGAAGTTCCAGGAGGTCATATTGTCCCTGGCACAGTTTAAGTTGTACTGTTGACAGCAACAAAAACATTCATGAACAGTTTGGCATACCTAGTTTGACCCAGTTTTTTGGACCTAACATCTGTTTTTCCAATCTGGCTGTAGTTAGCACAGTTTCCTTGACCGGTGTGTATTTTTTTTCTTTACCCAAGAACCACTCTTGTAGGCTTTTCTTTTTAAGACTCTACAACAGACTTCCTAATGCAAGTGTAACATCAATAAAAATAGGTGTCAGAAATGATAAGAATCCAATTGGTAAGAATTGATAAGAGTTCTTACCCGTGATAAGAATGCTTGACAGCGATCAGGACCTTTAGCCATTGTATCTAACCAAGCTGAGGGCAGACACAAATATAGTGTGTTAGTAATGAGACCTGCAGTTCAGCCAGTGTTTCCACCCATCTAGAGGAATGCTAGAAGAACTTCCTAAAATTCTGGGTAGACAGAGCCCAGATGGGGATACAAACTCTGTTAGGCTAAAAATTAGTTTTGAAACACTATTTTTCAAATATACTTTAAATATGCAAGCTCTACTGTAGACAGGGACTTTTGCTTACTTCTGTTTCTTTGACTAAATTATCGCCATCAGGGGTCCAATTCAAAGCCCACAGACTTCAGTAGGATTCTTTCCATTGACCTAGATGGGTTTGGGATCAAAAACAGAAGCAGGTGAACTATATGTTTGAGCATACTTTATTTACTCTGGACCTGAAGAACTAGAACAGCGGTTCCCAAAGTGTAGCCCATGAATCTCACTACTCCAAAGCCCCCTTTTAGGTATGAGTTTGATGATATGGGAGAACGGTGGTTCCTGAAGATTTGGGGGTTGACAGTATCCGCTGGCCCAAAAAGTTTGGGCACCACAGAACTAGAGTATTAAGCAGCAGCTTTAACTGGAATCACTTGGAGGGAATGTTGTTGAAATTATTTCTTGCAGACAACAGAAATATACCTTTTTTTTGGTAATTCTGTGTTGAAAGGCAAAATGTGTTAGTTTGTGCATAAATGAGATTGGGAAGTCACTGAATGTCCCACTTCCTTATATATTATTTAATAGAGCCTTTGAACTCTCGATGATGTTAGCATAGAGTAGGTAAAAAGGAGAATGCATTACCTTTATTTACTATTTCTGACTTGTTAATAAGACAGCCAGTTACAACATTAAAGTTTACATATATGGTAAGCTACACACATTCAACTCCTAGAATCTGCCATATCAGCAATGATTTTCTGTCTAAGGTTCTTAAACCCAATTTAGGTGTGGTATAATGAACCTTCAGCAGCCATTTCAACATGGGATTTGCTCTGGTCTGGAGACATGCAGAATCTTTGAACAACAGGAGCAATGCGTGATTACTATGCCAAAAGTAGTGGTAATTGATTCAGTGTGATCAGTGAGTCAGTGTCAGACTCAACACTTTGCAACACCTTGAGCCCTTGATCGCTGAGTTGATTCAGGCACCTCATAGAATAGTTATCACACCCTAACACCCTCACTTCTCCTATATTCGTGTTCACACAATGCTGAGTTGGAGCAGTAGGGAACTGGAAACAGAGAAACATGTTTTGTATAGAGCCAGCCACAGTGTGCATCATTAACAGCTGTCCCAGGGGTCCATGCCAGTGGCTAATGCTCTGCAGCATCATATGTGGGATCTGTCTAGAATGGAAAGAGGTTGTGGCTAGGTCAGAGTTAGCTAGTTAGTTAACTATAAACTCTTTAGTTAGTTATGCTATTAACTATAAACTCTTCTCCTGATCCCAGCCAGACCATGGATCACCTGGTTGACTTCACTATTCAGATAAAAGGGAGCATTGCACAGGTATCTGCAGGCCACACCTATATCTGAAGGCAGCTCTGCTCCCTTGGTCTACAGGATGCAGCTTGGCACCCTACCCTAGCGTGTGCTTTGGTTTTCTTAAGTCTCTTTTAAAAAAAGAAAGGTGTCAACTAAGTTACTGTGCAGTCAGGAAACTGTCTTCAGATTCTGTTCTGGAGCACAGTCATGGGATAATCTTAAGCCATCCATGCTGACTTGTGATCCCAAACTGTCAGCCTTCCTGGGATGCCTCCAGAAAGGTCAGGAATGCTGGCAATAGGCACAGTGAGCTGGGGCTAGCATGGGTGGTAGAGAAACATCAGTACCTTTAGAAAGGAAGGAAGCACTGGGCAGGGAGCCTGTCCTCTTTAACATGATCTCAAGGCCATCTGGTCACTCTTTGACTCTTTCC